AGTCCTGAGCTGGTTCAGCAAACAGTCCTCCGAAGGAGAGCTTTTCCACAGCAAATGGAAAGGCTCACGGGTGGCAGCTTGGGCCCAGGGACGGCTCTCAGAGAGTACTGCAAGAGAAAGGTCCCAGACTCCACAACCCAGCAGCCTGGCTTTGGTCACCGCTCTTACCATGCACTCTCAATCCCCTCAGTTCCCTCTTCTAGAAAACAGGCTAGCAGCACCTGCAGGCCGGTTATGAGGATTTAAGTGGACCATGTAGAGCAGAAACATTTCTGGCGCCTGACCCAGAGCAAATACTCCAAAAATAGTGCCATTGGCTGATGCTGGTGGTGCAGGTCTGCAGGTCCAGTTGCCCAGGAAGCAGAGGCAGGAGGATTGCAAGTTTGAGTCCTTCCTGAGCTACTGAATGAGTTTAATGCCAGCCTAGATAACTAAATTATGGAGACACTGTTTCAAAATGAAAAACAAAAAGAAGTTGTGGCAAGGTGGTGGTGGCGCCTTTAATCCCAGCACTAGGGAGGCAGAGGCAGGTGGATCTCTGAGTTCAAGGTTGGCCTGGTCTATAAAGCTTAGTTCCAAGATTATGTAGTAAGACCCTTTCTCAAAATAAAAAAGGGAGTGGCTGTGGCTGTAGGTCAGTGGTAGATCCCTTGTCCTGGGTTCAATCTCCAGTACTGGGGGGAATATGTTATGGTTGCTTCACTTGTAATGCTCAGAATACAGCAGAAGCATGGCTGCCTCCTTGCCAGAGAGTCCCAATGCCCTGGGTGAATGCAATTGCTGGTACTCAGAGGAACAGAGTTCTAAGCCTCTGTCCCACCCCAAGGAGTCACAGAGCAATCAGTGCCTCCCGAGATTCAGCCCAGTTAGCACTCACTTCCAGAAGTCATAGACACGCCCCACCCCCAGGGGCCCTTGGCAATGGTTTTCATACTGTAGGCAAGCTGGCAGCAACAGACAGGGTAGGGCTGGCTTTGCCCATGTGTCTGCAGAGGAAACCGAGGCTGAGCCAGCAGCAGGGACTGTCTCCAGGCCACCCAGCCACCCAGAGGTGCTTAGGGCTGATTTGGGTCTGGAATCTTAGATGGTTAGAACTGGACTATTCTACCATGGAGACCAACATCACAAGATCCACAAGTGACAGTTACCCACACAGCAGCCCAGAGAAGGAGGTCTGGGGACAGCAGAGCGAATTATCAAGGGGTCCAGCTGCTACTATTCATTCATTCATCTATCCGATGACATGCAGATGCGTCCTCGGGGCCAGGTGCTGCCAATGAGGTTACAATACAATGCAATCGAGACAGGCCCTGCCCTCCATGTCTTCTGGTCTTCGATAGGAATAGTGACCAGAGCCCTGAAGGGACACTGAGAGCCAAGAGCTTCCTGACTCAGATTAGCTGTAAGACCCTGCCCTTCAGTCTACCCTTGCCCCCAGCCCTCTTTGGCCTTGACCTAGAAGACTCTGAAATCTTTTTATTTATTTGTTTGTTTATTAATTCATATGGTATTACATACATACACTCGCTTTGTAGACCAGGCTGGCCTCGAACTCATGGAGATCCACCTGCCTCTGTCTCTGCCTCCTGAGTGCTGGGACTGAAGGTGTGCACCACCACCGCCCTTCTGATCCTCTGTTGCTACCTTTTGCACATGAGTGCGACATCTATGACACTACCCAGTGGCCAAGTCCCTGAGCACCTGTGAATGGAAGCCAAGCTCAGTATGTCCACCACTGGGGGCAGGGTGTCTTGCACAGCTTGAAGAACGGAGGAACCCCCAGAGTTCCACCCAGCTTGGATCCATCCAGCTTTGTTCCCGTTAGGTTCCCAGGACCCTTCAAGGAGTACAGTTTGCATGTAGAGAAACTTCCAGAGCGTCTCTGGGCCCCAGGCCTCTCTACCCCTGTTCTGTCTGCCTGGAATGCCTTTCTTGGCCTCTTTGCCTGGGTGAGCTGCATTCATTCAGTTCCTTGCTCACTCAACAGTATATTTGGGTACGCGCTAATGCCAAGCAGAGAGATGTGCTCGGGGAGTTTAGAGATTAAAGGGAGCGGTGCCGTTAATCCCGTAGAGTGAAATCCACAGACCAGAACAGACTGGACGAGAGACACTAAGACAGTGAGGTCCAATTCAATGGACTCGGGGAACATGTTCTAGAGAAAGAAGGCTTCTCAGAAAAGACAACTTTTCAGCAACCAGAACAAGAAACAGGAGTTAGATCAGTGAAGAAAAAGGGCAAGAATGTCCCCAGGCAGGAAACTGCAGGTGCAAAGGCCCTGGGGTGGGTCAGGACAGCGGGGCTGGTGCAGAGAGAAAGGAGTGCAGTCAGGTGGTTCAGACCTGGAAGGAAGCCATGTGGACAGTAGGGAAAGAAGGGCCAAGAAATGGGAGGAAGCCACACATGTGGCTGTCCCAGAAGCCAGGAGGGAATGTTTCAAGAAGGGAGTCGTGGGGGGTCTGAGTGACCTGCCCACACTCCCATGGTGAAGTCTTAATCTCCAGTGTGGCTGTACATGGTAATGGGGCCTCACAGGAAGAAACCAAGGCTAGATGAGGTGGCTCCCTAATTTGGCAAAACCAAAGCACTTTTCTCTCCATGTGCACAGACTGAGGCAAGACCACATGAAGACTCCACAGAAGGGGCCCATCCACAAGCTGGAAGCAGAGCCCTCAGCAGAAACCAGGTCACCCGGAAATGGTCTTACCCTGATAGAAGCTAGCAATGTCGTGAAGTCACCTCTTCCAGAAAGCCCTCCTAGACACTGGGATGAGGGGTTCCACAATCCCTGGGCTCCTTCCTTGGAGCAGTCCTCCCTCACAGACTAACCTGGGAACTTCAGACAGGCAGAGGCAAAATTTGGCTTCTTGGCCCCAAGAGCCCCGAGAGTAGTGGTTGAGCAAACGAATGCGCGACCGTAGAGCGAGGGCTGGAGAGGAGGCTTTGTTCCTTGCCCTGGCCCAGGATGGGTTTCAGCTATAGACCTCTGAGGCTGGCTTGGTGGGAGGCCAGACCCTGCTTAGCTCTTCTGGGAGCATCCCAGAAAGAGTGTGTGTCCAAGGGTTTCTCCTCTGCCCTTCTGGCCTTCCCTGTGTCTCATTCCCAGATCCCAGACACATACACCCTGCCCTCGCAGAATCCAGAAGATCAACAGGCTAAGACAAGGGACAGGTTGCACAACATGGAAGCTGCCTCGATTTCCAGCCTCATCAGGGCGGCTGTTGGCAAATCCAAGGGACTGAGAGGGGAGTTGTGGGTTCCTGAGATGTCCCTGGATGGAGAGGAGGTCCCAAGCCACCAGAGCTTTGCCTGGCCACATTGGTTCCAGCTACCACTCCCCATCCCACAATTCCCCAGGTTGGGTTGGGTTTGTGCCTCCCTTGGGCAATGCGAAGGAGTCTTTATAAGTCATGCCCAAGCCATGCCACATTTGAGACAGACAATTCTGGAAGCAGCAAACCTATCTCACAGCCCAGACTGTGTCCCCAGGCTCCCCATCAGGAATACATCCCCCTAAAGCAGGTCTTGGGATCATGGACGGCTTCCCATTTCAGACGAAAACCTCTTCCAGAACAGAAGCTGTAGTCCCCTCCCCTCCCCTACTCTGGGAACTGATTGTTACTTGAAGTGACCCACAGGTCACTCAGGATGCAGTGTTCTACCGCCTGACTGTCTAAAGATGCCAGGTCTGTGTAGGGCCTGGCCCAGCTCCCCTGAGGGCTGCAGCGTGAAGCATGGCAAAATCCTTCTTTCCCTGGACAGAGCTGGGCTGCTGCAGGAGGAAGGGAATTTGGCTGGAGCAAAGAAGTCTGGAGGGAGAAGAGCTGTCTTTCTTCAGTGGAGTGTGTGATCCCCAAAGGACCACAGCCCCAAAAAGATTCACATAAGAAATTAGCCACAGAAGGCCTCCCCATCTGAGGCTGACGGCTGTCTCCCCAGCAAAACCCCCAACCTGCCCCCCAAGCCCCTTTCCCTCAGTATACTCCTGCCCTCCTGCTTCTCGCAGTTGCTGGGAGACAGCCACTGTGTGCCAGCATCCGGGCCAAATGAGCAGCAGCCTGGACCACCAACCAGGTAGTAAGCTTGGCTACCTGAGTCCCGGGGGTCCCGAGCCTGCTGGAACCTCCCTGGAGGAACCGTTCTTGGTTGCCTGATCCCAGCCCAACTCTGCCTGGGCTGTGACCCAAGCAACTTCTCTTCAGCTCTGCTCAGGGCTCCCAGTGGCCCTGGGGAGCTGAGCAAGGCAGCTCCCTTGCTAGAGCAGCCTGGGGCCTTATGTACCAGAGAGCAGAGCTGGGAGTTTTCAGCTCAGGCCCGGCCTTTAATTACAAGGTACATTCAGTTGCCTGCTCATTTCTGTTTCTCTACAGACCTCACTAATTGAATCTGCCACAGCAGCAGGCAGACCTGGGGGACCAAGAGTGAGACCGAGGAGCAGGGGCTGTAAACTTACTTTCCTTCTTGGCCAAGAGCAAAGTTCAAGCAGCCAAGAAACTCTATCCTGTTACCAGACCACGCCAATGCCTCATCTAAGGGGACCCTTCAGCCCCCTGACCCATGACCCAGGGCACCCATGCCTGCCCCGATTCCAGAGGCCAGATGGCACCCAGACGCCTGCCTCCCCCCCCCCCCCCCCCCCCCCCCCCGCCCCAACCCCTTCAACTCTAATTCCCAAAGCTAAGCGAAGTCTGCTGCAGCAGTGGACTAAAATCCCAAACTCTGCCACTTAGCCGCTTAGCTGGCTCGGCTCACCTACCGTAGGAGTCGCCTGGGTCCAGGAGGGAGTCGGGCTCCATGGTGTGTGGGCCCCTGGGCCGCGGCCCCACCTGATTTATGAACTGAGGCCGTCTCCATGAGCGCCTGAGCTTCTCCTTTTGTATTCCATCTGGCGGCTTCTCCAACTAGATGACTGGGTATTCCTGCAAGCAGGCCCCTTTCCAGCCCTCGCCTTCATACAGCACATTTAAAGTAGCAGTAACCTCTTTTCCCTCCCCCCGCAGCCTGCCTGGAAACATTAGAAGGGACCGAGGCGGCGAGATGTCTAAAATAGGAAGATGCTGGGGACGGCTGGCCTGGCTGCCCGCGATGCTGGCTGCGGGGATCTGGTCCGGCAGTGCAGCTGGAAAAGCTAGGAGGTAAGGCAGACACAGGACTTAACATCTGGAAGCCGGCTCTGGGGCCCCGGGGGCCTGTGCGAATGGGTGGGGAGGCTGGCCTACTCGTAGGAGGGGACAGGGGTGTCTGCCGTTCACCACCTAGCGCCCCAAAGCCCAGGGGCTTCTCCTAGGCCTTGCAGGAACCTCCCACTCAAATCTGTTCTCAGACATTTCCTGCAGTGTGGGATGCAGAAATTGACTCATCCATCCATTCAGTCACTAAATATTTTTTGAAAATCCAGTCCTTGCCAGACACTGTTCTGTGCTGGGTATGCAGCAGAGAGCAAGATGCAGTGTCCGGTACACTGCAGGGACACCAGCTACTGCAGTGGAGTGTGCAGCATAGTAGTTCCTCGGGAACACAGAACGGTCACGGGGCTCCCTGAAGTAAAAGGCACCTCAGCCAGGGCCTAAAGGATACATAGGAGATAGTCGGGTAAAGAAGGATCAAAGGCCTGCACAGTGGACGTTTGTCGGATTTGTCCCAGTGGCTGAGGAATGAATAGATGAGTTGAGAGAGAGCTGGAGAGGGAGGGCAGAGAGGGGCAAGTTGGAAATCTGGCTGGTGACATGATCCCAGTTGCCTTGGGGGCCTGGGAAGGGCTGTGTGTCATAGCTTCAACAAGAGCAGCTGTAGTCACATGGGTTGTGACTGTAGTTGTTAAGCCCCCACCCACCATAGTACCATTTGCAGAGTTTACCCACGCTGGCCCCTGTGAGCCTCCCAAGGTTACTTCTCATAGAAACCCAGTTCATAGACAAGTACAATGCAGCTTAGAGATGTGTCCAGGCCACGGCTTGTGAGTGCCACCTGGGCAGGTCTGTGCCTCAGAGAGGCCAAAGCCTTGGTGCCAGAGAGGGAAGACAAACATACTGTCATTAGCTCAGCATCACCCTAGTCCAAGCCAGTGAGGCTCATAGGGCTCACGGTACCACGGGCTCACAGTACCATGGGCTCACAGTACCACGGGCTCACAGCACCACGGGCTCACAGTACCATGGGCTCACAGTACCATGGGCTCACAGTACCATGGACTCACAGCAGGAAAAACTTCATCTGGGCCCAGCAGGAGAAATGGGACCAAGGTCTGGATGGGATGAACAGGGGGGAGGGACGGCAGAGGGAGGTGTGCTCAGGCCGATATGGAGACAGGAGCAGAGGAGACCTGGGCTGACAAGGGAATGTGTGTGGGGAGCAGACCATCGTTAGGCTAGAGGAGATTAGGACGATAAGAGCAGGGGGACAGAGAGCTGGGACCAGAGGGACAGCTGGAGTGTGAGCTTACTCCAAGGGCCACAGGAAGCTGGAAGCATCTGTTCAGAGGTTGACCTCCTTTCCAGGGGATGCCTGGGTGATCCTTTGAGCAGCCCTTTCCCAACCTCCCCCACATGCAGCACTTCCTGCTGAAGAAAAGAAGCCATCTGCCCCTCTGCATTGCTGAATGCTAGGAGCTGAGCCTCAGTGACCTGCTTTTTTGGAGGAATGGCTGTGGAGTTACGGTAGAGGGATTAGGAGGAGAGAGATGAGGGACAGGCAGGCATCTACAGGATTCAGATGAAGGTTTTCTTGCTAGGAGTCCGTGGTAATGGTCTGCACTGAGTGGGCTTGGAACAAGGCAATGCTGACCAATGGCAGCGTCTCTACTGGGTCCATCCCAGCTCCCAGCTGCCGCCTAGCTGCTCCCAGAGAGCCAGCAGCTGCTGACGTGGTCAGCCTGGCCACAAGGAGGTTCCCCCTGTTCCTTCACCCCTCCTCCCTACCTTGGATGACAGGATTCCAGCTCCCAGCCTCCTGCTGCCTTAATTACAGGAAGGCCAGGCCCTACCCAGGCCTACTGTGGGCACCAGGCTCCCTGGAATTCTTCACTAAAGATGCCTGGGGAGGGCTGTTGGCAGGTGGAGGAGGCCTAAGTATAGGGACCATATTCCTTGAACCAATAGGTGAAGTCCTTAGGGTCATGGGGGTGTTGGGGATCTGGGGGCTCTGGGGTTCATTTGCAGATAGGGAGCCAGAGCTTCTTTCTGAGCATGCCGGATGGACTGAGGCTGGGTATGCTATAGCACACCTGTGATTCCAAGCACTGGGGAGGCTGTGGTAGGAGGACAGTGAGTTCAAGACCAGCTTTAACTACATAGTAAGACCCTAAGGACTGGGGCAGGCTGGCAGGATGGCTTGGTGGGTAAAAGCACTTGCCACCCAGACCTGACACCCTGATTTTGATCTGTGGAATTCACAGCAGAAAGAGAGAAACTGTAAATGGAAGCAGAGTTTTCTGTCCTGACTGCCCAGCCCAAATAAACATACAAAAGCTTATATTAATTACAGAATGCTCAGCCAATAGCTCAGGCTTATTATTAACTAGCTCTTACTTTTAAATTAACCCATTTCTATTCATCTATGTATTACCAGGTGGCCTGTGGCTTTACTGGTCCCCTGGCATCTTGCTCTTTGGGTGGCTCACTTGAGTCTCCCTCAGCTCCACCTTTCTTCACCCAGTCATCAGTTTGGTTGTCCTGCCTAACTTTACCCTGCCTTGCTATAGGCCAAACAGCTTTATTATTAACCAATGAGTGTAATACGTATTCACAGTGTACAGAAGGATCATCCCACAGCATCTCCCCCTTTCTGACTAATCAAAAAGGAAGGTTTTAACTTTAACATACTAAAATTACATATAACAAACAGTTATCAAGCAATAATTATAGTTACAATATCTAGTCTATTTTTATTTGACAAAATCAGAGAAAACATTCAATAATCTAGCCTATCTTGGTGAGTCTAAAGTTTCACATCTAATCTACCTTTTATCATAACTAAGGAAAACTATAATTATAACTACCTAATCTTCAACTCCATCAAAGATCTGAGAAGGAAATAATATTACCTAAGTAAGCAGTAAGCACAGGCAAGTGACTTCCAAAAATTGTGGGAAATGACAGAGACAGCTGGCTGCTTGAGCAGTCATCCACGTTTCCTCTGTAATGCTGGGCATGGCGTTCATTTCTGGCCTACAGGCCTAGCATATCTGCCAGACTTTCCTGTGAAGCAGGGATTTTTGAAGGACTGTCCTACCTGGTTTTGGCGAAGTTTTGTAGTCGCCTTTTTTGTGTCCTGCTGGTCCAGTTTGGATAGTAACTGTCAGCATTGAGGCAAGGGCAGGTTCCTTGCCCACGTGGCTAGCTTTTGCCATATAGAAAGCAAGCAAACTCATTATGGAGTTTCTTCAATGTCCATCATCTTTTCTGGACTATATTGGTGCTGTCAGGAGCAGACATGTCTCACTGTCATGAAAAGTCTAAGTTATTAAAACATTTTAAATGTCATATTCTGTAGGTCTTTGAAGTGTTTGAAGATTACCTATCTATATGAAATATATCTTTGTATACCTAGAAAACCTAATTAACATGACTATAAGTTTCACTATTATAGATGACTACTGATCTGTATTTCTTAATCACACATTACAATTTTAAATGAGTTGCATAAACGTAATATCTTAAACAAGATAGAAATATAGATATAACAAAATTAACTTTAAATTTGTATCAATAAACCAATATCCATATCAATGTAAAATATTTTGAAATTAACAGTTGCTTTTTGGATTAAAGTAGATTCATAATCTACCCTTTTTTCCATCATAATAATCTACCTTTTTTCTCATATTTCTATATATATCCCCCTTTCTTCTTTTAGAAAGAGGGTGACTATGACCAATAACAATTTGTAACCAACCCCCTTTAAATGAAAACAAACATTTATAATCAATATTCGGGGAATGTGGGAGTAATTTTCTAGACTACTTCCTGCTGATTGGTGGGCACTGGTAATCTTTGAGGGACCCTGAGAAAATCAGGATAATTGTTAAATCTTGGCTGGAGTATTCTGTGAGCCTGGATCATCTCAGTCAGCAGCCTTGAAGCTGTTTTGGATGCTGGATCACCTGGGCCATTTTTATTGGTATCTGGTCTCCTTGTTCTGAAAATATATATAACTTTCAAAGGTAACATATGTATTTGTATTAATACAAATATAAATTGTGCATTTGTACACAAGCCAAAGATAATTTTGTGTTTCATGTTTGGGCATGTAAAATATACATAATGTGTCTTGTAGTTACTTTAGGTTTATTTTACCACGTCTGTAGTCAGGATTTCAGGAGGTCTTCCTCAATCAAACCTGATTTTCCTTAACCCAGAATGAATCCATAGCATTTCATTTTCTGTGGAAATGAAAGGATATCCTCTCCCCCAAAGTAACACATCTTTTGATTTAAATTTTGAAGACAAGATCATTTTAAAATATGTTGGTTGGTTTAATTTAGTAGCTTTCACAATCAAATATCTCTCAGCAATTATCATTTGCCCATTAACAGTTAAAAAATCCAAAGACAACACAATAAAATAGAGAAGCCAGGCTCTCTTTGTATTTCCCATATTTATGTAGCTTATCATACTTTTTATTACTCTATTCCCTTTTTAAGAACTTTACTATTATTTTTTAATCATTTTTTTAATCCATGACTGTTTCTACCCTTTCTCTTCTCTCTCCCAAGCCTACACATATTTTTCAAACACACTGTGACCCATTTAGAAGCCTTTTTATGTGAATCTGTCCTTACTGTGTATCTTTAAACCTTTTTGTCTGTATGAGCAAAAACTCTCGATCTGCGGTGTGGTGCACGGCTGGGAGACATCTCTATGTTCTGCAGGCTGTGTGAGACTTCGGGAATCTGCCATGCTGCAGCTCAAGCCTGCATGCCGCAGCCAGGGGACACGTGTCTGTACTGCGGCCTGTATGAGAGAGCTGAACAATGAAGCTGCTCTTGGCTCCATTTTTGTGTGTCTAGAACCCTTTTTTTTAAAGCTTTCTCAGGCTTTATGTGGATGGACATGCCCCACATTGGGCTGCCATATGTAAATGGAGGTGGAGCTTTTCTGTCCCAACAGCCCAGTCCCAAATAAACATACAAAAGCTTATATTAATTACAAATGTTTAGCCAGTAGCTCAGGCTTATTATTAACTAGCTCTTACTTTTGAATTAACCCATTTCTGTTCATCTATGTATTGCCATATGGCCCATGACTTTACCAGTCCTCTGGCATCTTGCTTTTTGAGCGTCTCACTTGCATCTCTTTCGACTTCACCCCTCTTCATCCCAGTCCTCATTGATTGTCCCACCTAACTTTATCCTGCCTTGCTATAGCCAAACAGCTTTATTATTAACCAATGACAGCAATAAGTATTCACGGCATACAGAAAGATCATCCCACAGCAAGAAACAACTCCTGAAATTTAACTTCCACAAGCACGCAGGCCACGAGAGCACACACACATCAATAGTAATAAATAAAAATAGCAATGTTTGGTTAGTTTGCATAAGGCTCTGGGTTGGATCCTCAGCAGCAGCACTTAAACCAGGCCTGATGGTTGCATGCCTACAATTACATTACTTGGGAGGTAGAGGCAGGAAGGTCAGAAGTTCAAGGTCATCCTCAGCTACAGAATGAGTTCAAGGCTAAGTTGGGCTATATGAGCCCTTATCTTAAAAACAAAAGGGGGTGGGGGTGGTATTGTGATTGGCTCATAACTGGACTACGCCATTAACTAGCTGGATTATTTCGACTAAATCATTCATCCTTCAGGGCTACTGTTAGCCTGGGAGGACAAGACTGGACCTGACCTGTCTCAGAACTCAGGAAAGCTGTGGCTCACCCTAGCTCCAGCTCAGGCCCTCTCCACAGGGTGGTGCAGCCGTGGAGAGAATAGGGACCTGCTCTGCTACCAAGGACCCCTAAGGACTTGACTAAACCTTTTGCAAGGAGGTCCAGAGAGGAAAGTGAGTCTTGGGAGGGAGACCTGGGCTTTGGTGCTAGCTGTGCGTCCGTCTTGGGGTGCCACCTTCCCTGGCCCCTCTTTCTTTTCCAGCCAAGGAACAAAGCTTGATTCTCTGGCACTTTCTCCATCCATCAGTAGACATCTTTACAGATGTGTCCAGAGTTCTTGCCCTCTGGGACTCCCTTGTGGTAAGTGTATGTCACCACCACATACTCCCTTCCTTTTCCTTGGTGCTACTGGACACCTCAGTGCTACCTGGCCAGTCTCCTGTTGCACCCTGTGGCTGTTGAATCAGTCCCTTACCCATGGACACCTAGCTTACTGCTGGTTGCCACGCAAACAAGCAACCCTACAACTTTTCTTTTAAAGATGGGGTCTCATGTAGCCCCAGACTGGCGAAGAATTCATTTGGGTTCCCAAGGACGGCCTTGAACTTCTCATCTTGAGGCTTCCGCCCCTCAAGTACTGGACTCATGGGCATGCGGCACTGTGCCTGGATTTTGTTTCGGTGCCAGGATTTCATGCATTCTAGGTGAACTCTCTGCCAACTGAGCTACACCCCAACCCTGCAGTGAATGTCTTGATGTACCCCATGCACATCTGTGTAGTGACTTCTGTAGGATAAAACTGTAAATACACAGTTGGTGGGCAGAAAGGCCTTACCTTTTACAAGGCAGCAAAAGCCTGCAAGCTCTACCAAAAGTCAACCAGCACTGGCCTCGGCCCAGCCCTGGTGCAGGGCCTGGCATAGCCAGGGTCCCCGCCTCCTGTGGATTTGGAAACCAGCTGAGAAGAAGCACACACTTCCATCAGAGACAGATGCTACTGAGGAAGCAAATAGGGGCCCAGAGGAATATTTCTGAGCAGTGATGTGATGGCCTGGCTGAACAAAGTCCAAGGGGCCATCTTGTAGGAGTGGGCAGAGCCAGTGCAAAGGCTGATGGGTAGGAGGTTCGGGATGATGGCCAGTGTGCCTAGGGTGGGTGGAAAAGAGCAAGATCGGCTCAAGAGAAAGGTCAGAGGCGGCTCTGTGGAGAACTCTACGAACTGGGGAGTAGGGGCCACGGTGAGGGAGTGATCTCAGAGAGGCCGTGTGGGGCACTGCTATTGTTGAAGGTAAAGACCCTGGGAACTCCAGCAGGGGATGGAGGGGAAGGCGGGAAGTGCACGGATTCAAGACCCCTGTGAGGGTCTTGGGTGCAGTTACATGGTCAGCAGAGAAGGGGGAAAGTCCAGGATGACTTGTAGGCTTTTGTGGAGGCAGTTGGTCTCCTCTGAGGAAGGCAGAAGAAGGAGAGCTGCTGCAGTGGGTGACATCTGAGGAATACAGACAGACACACAGCCTGTTAGGCCAGCCTGCTGCTTGCCTTGTTCCAGCCTCCAGGACCTACTGCTCTCTGCACAGAAAGGAGTTAAATAGAGGCTGTGGATGCAGCTTAGTTGGTAGGGTGCTCACCCTGTATGCAGGAAGTCCCGGGTTCCAGCCCCACTCTGCATTAAACAGAGCATGGTAATCCCAGCACTTGGAGATGGAGACAGAGGAGCAGATGTTCGAGGTGATGCACTGGAGGCCAGGCTGGACTCCAGAGACCCTGTCAGAAGAAAAACAGGAAGGGTGAGAGGGAAGTGGTAAGGAAAGGAAAAAGAAAACAGAAAAAATAAATAAAAGGAGTGGACAGACATGAATAGGAGGAGTGAAGAAATGGATGCCCTGCAGAGGGCTTGGAGGAGAGCGGACAGGTGCCTGGTCGCTAGCTTGATCGTTGCTGGTCTCTGGAAAGGTCACACAAACAGGCCAGCATGGAGATACAGCCAGCTCTGTCAAGTCCTAGGCTTGGCCAAACAGGAGATCGTCTGGATCTAAGGAAGACTCGACGATCAGAGATCTGAGAACCAGAAGAGGGTAAATGCAGGGGCCAAGTAGGAACATGAGGGCTAGTGATCAGCTCAGCAGATTCAAGAAAAGCATTTGCCAAGAAGGGGCTGGCCACGTAGAGTGTGAGGGATAAAGAAGAGTTCACAGAACTGGAGGAGGTAGACATGGGATTCTCCTGCATACACTGAGATAGGGGGCTACACGAATCCTAAATGGTCATATAGTAAAAACCCAGAGCCAGACATTAGAGGGAAAGCTGAAAAATCAGAGAAGCAGAGCAAGCCACAGCCACCACCTCTTACCTCACCAACTCCTCAGCCTGACAAGAGAGTGAGTTCCTGTCTCCTCCTGCCTTATATTCCTTTCTCTGCCAGCCATATCACTTCCTGTCTCAACCTTCCTAGTGCTGGGATTGAAGGTGCGTGATCCCAAGGGCTGGAATTAAAGGTGTGTGCCACCACTGTCTGACTCTGTTTCTTTTTTAGACTGGATTGATCTTTTGTAGCCCAGTGTGGCCTTGAACTCACAGAAATCCAGATGGATCTCTGCCTCCCGAGTGCTGGGATTAAAGGTGTGTGCCACCACTGCCTGACCTCAGTGGCTAACTCTGTGGCTGGCTCTGTCCTCTGATCTTCAGACAAGCTTTATTTCCTAGATGACAAACAATGTATCACCACAATAGGACTCAAAGACTCCAGGCCTTCAGGTTGTTTCCATGCCCCAGATTTTCTGGTTGAACTTACCTATCTAAGACCAAATGGAGACCAGGAGGAGCCCCAGTGCCCTGCTCCCCTGAGCTAAGTGGTGTGGGGTCTGGCCAGGCTGGCTGCTCTCTCTTGACATGGCCTGAGTACAGACTTCAGTGCTTAAGACCAGGTCTAATCTACCTGCCTTGGTCCAAAGCCCACTGCATACCTGTTGGGTGACCCTCAGCACACAGGCTCCCTTCTTAGTGCCTCAGTTTCCTCATCCAGAGCTCTGGAGGGTGAGGGCAGGCCCTGGAGGGATGCTGGGGGATTCCGGAGTTGGGCAGGGAGAACACAGACAGGAACCTGGTCCAGAGTATGTAATGTAGCACCCCGACCTCTCCAGTCCATAGCACAAGCCCCAGTAGCCTGTGTGAACTGCCCAGCATGGCTCCATCCCCACATCCTCTTCTTGACTTCCCTTCCCTCTCCCTCCATGTCTTCCCCCCTCTATCTTAGTCACTGTTCTATTGCTATGAAGAGACATCGCAACCAAGGCAACCCTTATAAAAGGAAGTATTTAATTGGGGGCTTGCTTACAGCTTCAGAGGGCTAGTCTATCATCATAGCAGAGAGCATGGCAGGCAGGCATGAGGCTGAGCTACATCCTGATTCACTGGAAAACAAGCAAGCAGAGAGAAAGAGATACTGGGCCTGGCGTGGGCTTTTGAAACCTCAAAACCCACTCCCAGTGACGCACCTCCTCCAACAAGGCCATACCTCCTAATGCTTCCTAAACAGTTCAACTAGGGGCTGAACATGCAAATGTATGAGCCTGTGGGGGCCATTCTCATTCAAACCACCACACCCTCCTACCCAGCCACACTTGGGTTTTATTTTGTTTTAGAAGAGGGTGTTGCTATGTGGCCAGGCTGGAACTCAGCATCCTCCACCTCAGCTTCTGGAGTGCAGGGATCATATGTACCACCACGGAATTTGCCTCTCACCCCAGGGCTGCTGCGGTGCCTCAATGGGAGTAGAATCTCCCAACTCTACCCCAGTCCTGGCTCTGACCACAGGCTGCTGGTCACTTTCAAGGGCCCCCCATTCACCCTGCCCTCTGCGGTGATTTCCTCTGCACACCTCTGAATAGTGTATACAGTCCTGGGCAGGGAAATGACTCAGCTGGTGACGTTCTTGTCATGCAAGCATGAGGACAGGAGCTTGGCTCCCTAGAACCAGGTAGGCATGTGGCCTGCCTATATCCCAGGGCCCAGAGACTGAGACAGGGATCCTCGGAAGGAGCTAGCTCACTCGAGAGTAAAACTGCAAGCTCCAGGTTAGTAAGAAACGCTGCCTCCTTAGGGAAAGGTGGAGAGAGTGATGGAGGAAGACAAGCAATGTCAGCCCCAGACTCTCTCATGCCTACACACATGAATATGTAGACATGTGTGCATACACACCACACACACATGCACATGACATGCAAAACAAATTTTTCTCAAAGAAAAAAATCGGTCATTTGGGGTGATGCCGAGGAGGATGAGTCACTGTCCTTCCCAAACAGCTGACTCCAGGGCCATCTCTCAGCCACAGAGCCCTGTGAATGCTCATTAGACAACCCCAAGTCTTTCCAAAAAAAGCCAGCTAGAAAGAAATGACTGGAGTTTGAGGTTTTAGAGGATTTTCCAGGATAAGGGGGTCAGAATGGTGGTTTGGGGTCCTCAAAGTTCCCCCAAATCACAGTGAACCAGGAGGCATGCCTTGAGGTCCCCAGGATCTGGCTGGACGTGTGCCATAATCAGTGACAGCCCCACAGTGGGCCGGCAGTGACTGGGTCAGCACAGGGATGGCATGCAAGCATGTGCCCATGGTGGTCCTTTTCCTCTTCCATCAAGCATCAAGGGTTTGGCCTTGGTCACCACCCAAGAGAGCCATAGGTGTCCCCAGGTTAGCAGCCACTGGAGACCCCATCTAGGACATGTTCCTACATGATAGCGATCTCCATGACACCCTGCTCACACTACTGGATTGCCTCCTAGAATAAGAACTTCCCTCTCTTCCAGGCTATGCTGGAGAGTCCCACCATGCCTATTCCCACTACTGCTGCTCAGCTGGTCTTCAATATCACCTCCCTGGCCAGGCAGAGTAAATGTGCCTGGGGAAGTCCCTAAATTACCAGATTTCCTGACCTGAACTCAAATCTGTGCAGTCCACCTGACCTCCCCACACCAGGCTTCTTGGCTAGTGTTCAGGCGAGTCAGGAAAAACCACGAGAAGCCTGAAGTGTTTACAGATGTAAGCCAACAGAAGTCTGTGCAGTTCAGCAAACACCGTCCGAGGACTGTGCCAAAGGCTGCAGACTTGGGAATGAGTCAGCCAGTGTGCCAGCCATGGGGATCTCCAGCCATGGGAGGGGGACCCTCAGAGCATCACCATGTGGGGAGGCTGCCACTGGTGCCAGAGGGCTTTGAATGCTCTTTTACTGTGGGCCTGTGGAGGGCTGGACACACAAGAACGAAGTCCAGAGCGCTAGATCACACAGCTTATCCATCCCAGGGCAGGCAAGTTCTATGCCAGAGGAGCCACACAATAAATATTACAGGCTTTGTGGGTCGGCTCAGTTCTGCCATTGTAATTGGAGAGCAGCTATGGGCAACTCCCAAATGAGTGGGTGTGACTGTGGACCAATAAAACATTACTCTTGGGGCTAGAGAGATGGCTCAGCAGTTAAGAGCATTTGATCTGAAATCATGGGGGGCAGAGTTCAGATGCCAGCATCCATCTAACAAACAAGCCATCCCCACAAATGCCTATAACTCCAGCTCTGAGGTGGGAGGAAGGAGAGTTGCTGGAGCTTGCTGGCTTCCAACTTAGCTAGGTAAGTGTGAGCCCCGGGTTCTGGGAGAGACCCTGCCTCAAAGGAAAAGGAAGATGTACAACATCCTGTTTCATTTCTGTGCCTGTACGCAGGTGTGCAAGCACACAGACACACACAAATGAATAAACCATCACTTTTGAGACTAAAAGCAGTTTCTTACTATCCCACTCCTCTCTTTTTCACTTTTCTTGTTTTGTTTTTCGAGACAGGGTTTCTCCGTGTAGCCCTGGCTGTCCTGGAACTCACTCTGTAGACCAGGCTGGCCTCAAACTCAAAGAATCCATCTGACTCTATCTTTCTCTTCAGCCACACCTGTGTCTGTGTGGGGAATGCTGGGAAGCCATTAGCCTTGGGTAGAAAAGGTCATTGAATACCAGAGCAAGGCTTTCAGGTTGATGGGGCTGGAGGTTGACATCTGGTGGTGTGACTGCCCTGGCTGGTCAATCAGCCACTATCCATTCAACTTGCCCTCCTCTCACCCTCCTGTGGATCAAACCATTGCCCACCATGAAGCTCAGAAGCCGTGTATAGAGAGCCAACGCTGGCATATCCACAGGTACAAATTTTTAAAAAACATTACGGTGGCTCATGCTTATAATCCTAGAACTAGGAAATCTGAGGTGGGAACATTGCTATGAGTTTGGGGACAGCCTGAGCTACATAGTGAGTTCCACAGTGAGGGCTAAAGATAGAAACTTAAAAAGAAAGTTTCAGGGGTTGGGGATTTAGCTCAGTGGTAGAGCGCTTGCCTAACGAGCACAAGGCCCTGGGTTCGATCCTCAGCTCCGGAAAAATTTAAAAAAAAAGAAGTTTCTAATTACGCATGGCTATGAGCTTATTAGGTCAATAGACAGCAGAATCAACAACATAGTTTTTTGTTTTGTTTTGTTTATTTTGTTATGTTTCGTTCTGTTCTGCTTGAGACAGGGTTTCTCTGTGTAGTCCTGGCTGTCCTGGAATTTACTGTGTGGACCAGGCTGGCCTTGAACTCACAGAGATCTACCTGGCTCTGCCTCTTGAGTTTTGAGAATAAAGGTATGTACCATCAAACTGGGCAACATGAGTTTTATTTCAAGCCCCGCTTCTCACTCTGGGGTGATCACAATTAGGGGTGGCTAAGTGTGATTCCAGCACGTTTCCAGTGCACACAGCTGTAGATCCACAGCACCCTCCCATCCAAGGCTCCATCATTCCCGTGGCTGTGGCCAGTCCTCCACTTCTTTGTGATGAGGTTTCAGCAACTGCATCTTCCTCTTTGATCTTTACCTCCCTGCTGTCATATACCTGGCTGGTCCCTGTTTGATGATGACATACGGTGCTGGGGAGACCCACCCTGCTCCACACCTGCACTAGGCTTTCTGCTGGGGAATCTTGGAAGCAGAGCTGCTCTGCTAAGGCGCCTGAGAGCTTGAAGTGTGGATCAGCATAGCACCCTGGACTCATTCCCTGCATTGTTGGGAAGACGGAGAGCAATCCTCCAGGGCCTAGGGGGTGGGGAATCCTACCAGAACAGACAGAATCTGGGACCTCTATCTCAGGCAATCCTGAATGGCTCAGGAAGCAATTTATCTCCAGGGTGGATAGCCCTGCCTACTCCTTCAGACTCGGGCCAAACACCTGTCCAAGTGGCAGCCCTTGGAGACAGTGTTCTGGCCCATTTATCCAACCTTTCATCCATGCAGCTAACTAATATTTACTGAGCATTTCTTATGACTGGAGTCTTGGGCTATGGTGGTGAGCACAGGCATGCCCCTGCTGCCTGGGTCTTCACTGTCTGGGGAAGATGGACTTGATTATCCATTAACTTGGCAACTGTTTATTGAGAGTCCTCCACATGTCCAATATTGTTCTAGGCACTGAGACTCCAACACAAGAGAAAAGACAATCCCTGCCC